TATATATAAATTTCTTTTCTCCTTTCCCTCCATTGCACAAACTGTACCTTCTATCCAATCAAATCCTAGGTCATCTGTCTTTGCTCATACCCTCCCCATTCCCCCCTTATCTCCCTATAGACAACATTTGTTCAGCCTGTGTCTTCACCTCCTATGGGAGATGTCATGCTGGAATTGAATCTCTTGTGTGAATGGGATTTCATTCCCCACAGACCTTGAGTGGAGTGGGACTCCAAGTGCCTGCTACTAAGCTTTCTCATCTAAGGGACCAAGTTGAACCCTCTTTAGTTATGTAAAAATACAGGAAGGTCTGTATGAAGTGATTCCATATTCTCCAGGGCATATGATTCTAAGTCATATAATGTTATAGAAGCAATGCAGTAAATCACTCAGCTCTATTGATGAATAGGTGGCTTTTGACTAGAGGTCAACTCAACTTTATCAAACTTCCGATAAAGTAGCATGAAAATTAAAAAGACTGTATAAATAGGTAAGAAGTGCAGTTTTTGCTTGTGTGCCTATTGTTTTCCTATTTATAGTTCTCCACACTGACAGGTGGAAATGCTGTCAAAGTGATGTCTCAGTGCTTAAGAATGGTGGAAAGATTTTAATCAGTAGACATTGTGCTTTGATGTTAGTCAAATTCTCTTCATACAAAAGTTCAGGTGATAGTTAGAGGTGTAAATATTTTGCCCACCCTAACAACAAATCCTAAATATCATGTGTCAGTGGGTTGTCCAAGACCCATTTGGGGTCTTCTAAGTTGTAGAGGAAAGATGAAGCATACATGGTCAGTTGTTTATTATGACTTATGACAGTTTTATTTCATCCCACACTCTCAACCAGTTCCACAAAAGTTTTCTGCTTTTTTGTATAGAACTGTAAATTTTCTGTTTTTCAAAACCTATCCACTTTTATGTATTTGGGACTAAATATACATCATTCTTTTTTCCCCCATTAGAAATGGCTTTGAAACATTTGATCTTGCAGAGGCTGCTTTGCTAATTTTAGATTTCTTTGAGATCCCAAACATAATTATTGTGGTTAATATAGGCATCTGATTTTAGTACATGCCTATGGTTAAATTCAGGAGTACACAAACTTGTCTTTCATTATCTGCTACTGTCCTACAGATCTGCACTAAGACAACATTGTATGTCTTCAGCTTGCTATGTCTCTCTGTCCTCCTGGCTTCCTCATCGCCCCCAGTGAAACATCCCATAAAGGCCAGTATGCTTCCATTCTAGCTCTATGTTGTCATCAAGAAACTTTTGAGTCAGGCAAGTGGGCCATCAGCCTCATGCCTTCCTCTTCCCACCGAAGACATTCTGTGATTGTGGCTTTCCCATCTCCTCTCTTTCAGAATTTATCCTTCTCCCATTTAAATTTCTAAAGCACATTTTACTGCTTCTCTGTCCCAATTATGTTGTGTGCTTAATTTACTTTTCTTTTAATTACTCTTTTTTAGGTAGAATCTTGATTTTCTACTAGTTTTATTCATTTATTTAACTAATATTGATTTAGCATCTCTTAAGAGGGCTGAGACAGTTGTAGCCATTGAGTATACAACAAAGAAGAAAACTAAATCTTTCCCCACCTGAGGTTTATATTTTAGTGAAATATTTAGAATTTTGGATATGTCATGGTCACTAGGATGAGGCATGGGGAAGTGACCCTAAAATTTTTTTGTCTGGGCCAATCCCAGTGTGATTTTCAATTTCCAGAGAAGGCAAAAATCAGCACATATGCCACAGATCGAGCAGGGTAGGTTTATCTAAACGAAAGTCCCCCTTAGGTGTTTCTACAGTCAATGTCATCACACTTAATTATTCATGGACAGGCATTGAACCTTAGGAATATTTTCTGAGACTTTGAATTTTTTAGTTATTATTAAAGTTATTGAGTTATCTTTTTCCATCTACTTTTACACACTTTTTTATGGTATTAACTTTTTACTTATATAAAATTGAGAAAAATGAATGTGATGTATAACAGTAGCATGGGAATGGAACCTACATTATTTTATTCACTTTAAGACTATGTTTTATTTTCAAATTACATAGTGTACAAGTTAGTAGAACTTTGATATTATTTAGTACTTAATCAAGTAATGTTTCTGAGCCAGAATGCTTCACTTTAACCTTTCTATGTGAAAGATTCATTATTCCAAGAAA